AGATGCACTGTAAGACAGAAACTCAAAGAAGCTCCTCAAAGTTGAAATATAGCCATTACGAAAAAATAAAAGTAAAACTGAAATAAAATTCATCATCCTGACTACAAATATGATAAAAGTAAAGACAGTATAAGGAGAGTTGACAAGTCAGATTGTAGCCGTGTTTTAACCTGAGCCATGGAGACCGCATGCTCATGATTGCTGCTCAGCTGCAAAAGTGGTCTGAATTGCTTCTGCAGTCCAGTAAGTAGCAAAGTGTCTGTCTGGACCTCCTGCTGCATGAGCAGCGAATCCTCTTGGAAAACTTCCATCTGAGACAGGGAGAGAACAGTCAAAGGTAAACACACAGCTTGTTGTCACATTTATCTCTTAGACATTTATCTTGTCATCTTATACTAAATGAGCTATGCTGGTGAGATAATTTGAATACTTAATGTAACTTTTTCAAGTAAGAGTTTATTTTTAATAATATACTAAGTTACTTATAAAATCAGAATATTCTAAACTCTCACAAGAAAAGAAAAAAATGTTATTGGAGAAATCTTGATTATTATTGTGAATTGTGAAACGGAGCACATTTTGTCATATTTCACGTGCTATTCTGCAGGAGTCTGCACATTTTAATTCCTTTAATAACTCCTGGACCACTGTCAACATGAGCTTACATGTGAACCTCACCGTCATGCCTCTAACCCAATGACTGCTGTTATATTTGTTGTACAGTATCAATATCATTATGTAAAGTGGAAATACTTGTTTCTCCAGGTGGGTATTGCTCCTCAGGACCAGCAGCATGTGGTGATTGATAGCTTTGTCTTCATGAAGCTTGGCATTCCTTCTTTTACCCTGTGAATCATAGCATAACAGAAAAAAGTCACTTGATCTTAAACGTCCAAGCAACCAATTTCATTATTTCATCAGTTGAACTAACCTGTACAGAGCAGCCAAATTTCTTAAAGCAGCAGTCATTGTTAACTTCAGGACATAACTGTCTATGACTGGTCAGCTGGAAAGCAAGGAAAGCTCATAATCAGGTTACTAGACGACTTTGTGGGATACTTAACTGATTGGTCAGCAATTCTTGGGGTCTGTATGTGTGAATCAGAAACTGTTACATCAGCTTATACTATATATAACTACAGCAACAATGTCCTTTTAATAATTTTCACAATTTTAGACTCTGGTAGCACTATAGTGCTCTTTTTTTACTAAGCTGTCCGCTGTTTTGTTTGGCACAACTAAATGATGTATATACTGAATGCAGGGGATGGGATATACATAACTGCCAATTATTTCAGATTGTGCCACTGACGTACAAGAGTTGCTATTTGAATAATGCGGACATATATCTTCTTGGTTAAAGTTGATCTCTTTCCTCACCCCCATCCTTCAGTGATACCCTTCTGGTTTTGTTATGATGTCTGATTTAGTACTAAAACTGAGAAAAACCTGAAACAACCAACCAGCTCTGGTAGAATATTTGTGTACTTCAGCTGGTTGTTTGTTTGAAACAGCAACAGTTAGATGATGGCTGTTCCTGCAGAGCTATGATGTGATTCAGAAGATGAGCTCACCTTGTGTCTGGGGACCTTTTGGGAACAGCCTTCAGGACAGTCTACCTTCACATCTGGACACAAGCTCTGCACATGATCCTATGGAGCACAGAGTCACCACAAAGTCACATCATGAATTTATACTTGTACTGTATTCTAAGAGTAAATTAGTTACACTTCAGGAAGAGAAGCATTCAATTAGATTTTTGCTGTGTATTTTCGTTGGTGAGATAAAGTCCACCCCTGAATTAAAGTGACACATTACAGTGTAGAAAATGAAATCCTTGAGTAATTAGTACCAATCCTGACCTGAGAAAGCTGGACCAAGAACAGCTGGAAAGATTTGGATCACCATTCTCAGTGGTAAAAGAAAAGGTGCAGTTGTTCCTCTTCTGTGCTGTTTCAGTGGACTTTACCTGAATGAGGCTGAGCTGGAACAGCTGCCTGCAGTGTGGGCAGGGTTCCCTGCGGTATGGACAGATGTTGGTCAGGTGTTCTTGCAAGTGCCTCCTTTGTAACACTGCAATGCAGCTTGTATTGGTGCATTGCACCTGCTCATACTGACATGACTTCAGGTGCTCCTGCAGGGAGTGAACAGATTACCTCAGTTGATTACAGTATATTTCTTTTTCCATTAACATGCTACCATCTAGCACTGGTCATTAGTGTTTATTGAATGATGTGTTATGAATGGTGAAACAGAAGCAGTCATGTGTATTTTGAAGTGTGTAAAATGCTTGCTCAGGTACAGAAATGTTGACTGGATAGAACCTTACAGTACAGATAGGCAGTTAGCTAAAATATACTGCAAAAGCAACGCTCTAAAGAAGCTAAAGAATCAGATTATTTTGCAATGGCTGAGCCAAACACTTGCAGTATGCAATTTCATTCATTTATTTCTGAAGACAACGCTATAATTACAAACAGCCATGATCAAACATCTACTCAAGACAGCTACAGTAAAGTCCTGGCAAATGAGCACAAAGAAGGAAACCCTGTATAAAAATGCTTTCAGATACTCATTGCTGAAAGGTTTAAAGTTAATTCAATTCACTTTTATTTATAGTGAAACTCACAACAACAGTTGCCTCAAGGCTTTATATTGTAAAACCTACAGTAATACAATTCTTAACAATGCACTAAAAATAAAATTTTTATTTATGATTTGGTTAATCTGTCCAATTATATTTAAGCCACTAACGAACATAGTGTATAACATTGGCTTTAATTTTGGTTATTCCAATATTTTTGCACCTCGAATTAAAGCTGAAAGACTGCTTCCTCTTGACTGTTTGATGTCAAATCTTTTGCGAAGGTATTATCCCATGAATATGGTTTGTTTGCTTCCAACGAAATCAAGGTGGAATCACCTTAAACACCAAACATGACTTCAGCTATTTCATAAACCAAAGAGTGAGACTGCAGTGGCAATGCCCAAAACTTCAATAGTCTTGTTATCAACACTAGCACACAGATTTGAGCTAAAAACACCATTCTCACCTTATTTCTTTTATGCAAAACATGGTGTGTCCTTGTGGGCCAGAGAGTCAATATGCATATTTAGCATGAACATCTAATCTAGTAACCACGAGTTGTTAGACTACAGTTTGCATATATAGAGTTTACCTGCAGATTGTTTAATGTGAAAATAGTCGTGCATGCTGGGGCATTGGTGCAGTACACTTCTAAACTGGAAATTTCACGTTTGCAGCAGTTATCCTGGAAAACCTGCATGGAAAAAAGATTTTTTATAACTTCAACAAATCAAAAGTGCATTTTCAAACTAACACTGACATTTTCAAACTAACACTGACATTTTCAAACTAACACTGACAACACCGTTTTCATGTGTTGTCAGTGTATATTTTCCTTCTGTGTCCGAGAGCTCCACTGATGTCCAAAAAAACATAGAACC